TGTGTATCTGAAAATAAAATACATGTTGACATTCAGTTAGATTCTGTACTCATAAACTAGCATTATACATTATTTGCGCATAGTGAAATCAAAGGAGTTATAAGTATCCTCGGACAATATGCCTTTGGGTGCTCTTAGAAAAAAATATAAATTCTTATATTCTTTCATAGCTGGTGAAGTGGACGAAGCGGAAATTGAAGATCTTTTTGACGAGTTAGAGGACCTTAGTGACTCTGGGCCAGAAGTTGACACCATCTCCATTACATCGACACCAAAGCCTTCCCTACGGCCGTACTTCTCCTCCTCTAGATCTCTACTTAACGAAGGTCTCAGTGTGCCAGGTTAGGGTGTTTTTTTAGGATTTGGGTGGGATAAATCTTCACAGTCACATTTTTATAAAATTTTATGGTTTAGTTCTATGTAGCTATGGGAGGGAGTCAAACATATCAGGGAAAAAAATATTATGGTTAGGTTTTCAAGAGTTATATAAATTATGATAATTATTAATGGATGGAATGATAGCTTATACTGTAGATTTTATGTAGTTTATGATTTCAAAGTTAGCATAAGGAAGGTTTTGGCATTCGGCAGGTCTAGAATTAACTTTGAAGAGAAGTATATTTCATATCGTCTAATTAAGGACTTACATTGATTATTGTTTGAAATGTTTTATTGCAGTTCCATTACATCGCTTAGATTTATATTAACCCATTTCCTGCTAAATTAGTAGACTCATAAGCAGAATCCTTTCAGATGTTTGTCAGGATCACTTGCTAGAACTTGTGTTGTAGATACATAACTCATTCATTAATGGCATTTGCAGTCTTATGATACAGTACTTGAAAATATTTGAAAAATCTGGATCCATATTGTAATATTTTTTGTTTTTTTACTTAAAGAATTCATAGCCCAGGGTCATTTTGGAGTAGTGACAGCCATACAGTATTCACAATTGAAGGATTCAGATTCGCTATTTTGCCAGCAACTTTTCAGAATGTGCACTGTTTAAATAAATTAACTTCTATATAGTGTATTGTTCTAGTGGCCCTCCTTAACCATTCAAGGTTTGGTACAAAATAAAGCTTTGTAAGAGCAAAATTACACACATGGAAGTTAACTTCTTGTGGAAAATATGGTATTTGGTTTGTTTCCTAAAACCTGTACAATCTCACCCACAATTAGAGTTTCTAAACAAAGGTATTTGCTTTTAAAGTCAACTGAACAGTGACATTCATCAAAGTACTGAATCATAGTTACACAAAAACAAGTGAAATCTGTGCATGAATACTTCAGAATTGTTGGTGGTAGTGTAAGGTAGTTAAGTCTGTGGGCAGGAATGGTTTGTGAGGGCTGGGCATATATCTAAGTTTCTAAAGTGATATACTGTATATATATATATATTTTTTTTTACCTGATAGTTACAGCAACACGAGAAGACTGCATAGGGTGCTTGGAAGCCCTGATAAGGCATAGAATTAGCACACAAAAACCACAAACACAACATGGAAACTATAATATACAGTACAGTACACAAAGTGGGATGTAAGAGTTGCAAGGTAACGATGCTCTTTACTTTTTGGGCATTGGCCAGTGATAGTGATGCAACAAATGGGTACATCCAAGATGGCTATTTGATTTTTCTATCATGTACTTATGCAGACTACTTAAACATTCCCAAAACCCTTGTGCACTTTTTATTCAAAATAAGGGTGCAAATAAATTTATCAAATATTTTTTTCACCATAAATTATATTCGTATTTGTCGGAGATCTCTGTATCTTCTGAAGGTCTAAGGTCTTATCTCCTTCCATCAGTTATCATGTTTTAACTGTACCTTATGGTATCTTGAGCATTTCATTTTGCTTTCAGCATTTTAGAGATTTCATGAGCTAGATACTAGCATATAGTACTGTAGTGGTAGTACAGTTTTGTATTGTGCTAAAGAGGGAAGATAGCATGGAAACTTATTGTGTTTGTGCATTGGGAGTATTAGGTGATATGCACTTCATGAAGCACTGTACCTGTGGTGTAAAGTTTCAAAAGTGTAAATGTTGGAGAGATATTTCAGCTCTTCTCTTTTCGTATGAGAGGCATCCTCCTCCATTTTGATTTACTACAATATTTAAATGCGAATGTACTGTAATAATCAAGTGCATTGTTATTCTGTGTAGTTCTCTATAGTCTTCCATTCAAACAAATGCTAGCAACTGCAGTACATATAACTGGACACTTGTATTCGTAAGTTCACCATAGGCATTAATCCTACTGTTGTGTCAGTAAGTGTTGACATGGATTAATCTTCTCTGATATATATATATATATATATATATACATATATATATATATATATATATATATATATATATATATATATATATATATATATATATATATATATATATATATATATATATATATATATATATATATATGTGTATATATATATATATATATATACTGTCCTTGTTTGGACTCTGTTGCATGTATAAGTAGTGAAAACTTTGATTGCATTTCTACTGGAAATAGCACTAAAGGGTTATGAATGATACATTTGATGCTATTATCATTTGTTATATTTTTTAATTACTACACAGCACGAGATACTTTGGTCATATAATGGGCAAAGTTGGGGATAGGAGGGCCAGGGGAAGACAGAGACTGGGATGGATGAATGAATGAAAATAAAACCTGGGTCCCTAGAGAGATACAAAACTTTTGAGGATTGGTAAAAGCAGCCCAAGAATGTTTAGAGTAGAGAACTGTTGTTGCTAACACTCAGATATGAGGACGGTACTTTGATTCAGTGAGTATGGCACAATTTAAATTTTGAGTTTAAAAAAAAAAAACATTGAAGTGTATCCTTCTTTGTTACTGCAGTTTGGATCCTAACAGTTCTCTTCAAAAGTCTTTCATGTGAATTCGATTAAGCTATTCATACAGTAGATAGGTAACAGAAGTGGAACACCCTTTACATGATTGAGTCTGGGTATTGATATGCTAGTGTGGTAGCACTACATATTATCAGTGTGTGCAGTACACTGAAACACAGTTGGACTAACTCATATATTGTAATATGCTCACCATGGGCCATACCTAGCTACTGAGACATTACCTAGCTCTGATCAGCTTGGTTGTCACTGTATTCATGGCCAGTGGCATAGCTTACAAGAACTCAGTAATTCACCAGAATGCTTTTCTTTTTGAGTGATTGTGTTCGCAGATTGAACTAAGAGATAACAAACTCAATCAATTTCTGATTGATAACAATTAATGCTAGACTTAGATTATATTAATCTTGACAGAGTTTTGAAAAGGAGAAATTAATATTTCACAAAGTCATGAACTTGCTGCAGTTCAAAGATTTGGTTTGACTTTTCAGTAAAGGTTGTCTTTGTTTCAGTAGGACCAATATTTTATTTCATATATTTTGGTGCTCTTGCATTTAAGTGTAGCAAGATTATGCTATACCATTACACTAGTTGTTTCCTCCTCGGGTACCAAAGGTTTAGTACACAGTGTGCTGTACAGGTATTCTTTCTGTTCCTAAAGGGCCATCATGCCTATGAGACCCACTTTTTTCACCTTGTGTAAGCTCGGTGTGACTACACTACATAGCTTTGATGAACAAGAGACAAAGTACTAAAGTTATCAATATGTAATGCATAGATTTATATTAAACTAACAAAATATCTAGTGGGTTTGTATTGGAAATAATAATGTATGAAAAATATTAATACAATAATCTCACCATTAGCTGGATTCTTCAATCCACAGAACTCTCCATTACCCTGAAAAAAAAAAATTTAGTACAGTATTCCGAGAAATTCAGGGAAATATCTCCGTTTTGAACATTCAAACAAATTTTCGAGAGATTGCATCATGTACCGACAAACGCTGAGCAAGTGGGTGGGTAGGCTCAGAGTGCTCATGAGCTATGATTGTCTACTACAGTCAGGTGACTACATGGGATGCCTATGATTGGCTGATGTATTTCACAGCCTATCTCCTCAAACTCCAGCATCATAACACTCTCAGTTCATTGTCTGCTGCCATTGTACAAGCTTGTTCACTCAGTCACTGCTATTTTCACAAATGATCTGTGTTGTGCAGTACTGTACATTACTGTACCAGGATATAATCAGCAAAGAACACGGTTAAAGCAGTGCTAAAATGTAAAAACTGATTACAGTTAAGTTTATTGTGTACATTCAGTAAGTGTTAAAGTTCCGTATGTACAATACTGTACATAGAGTGGACAGTGTATGCCTACTGTAGTCTAGTGTGTAGAGGGTATGTGTACAGTACAGTATATACAGTGCATGTACAATCCCTCCTTCATGGAGGGATAGGAGAGTGACAATTAACACCAGCTGCCACAGTAGATGGTACAGGACAAAGCAGGCCATACTGTATCAGCATATCACAATTAGGCCTGCCTGCATCACAAGCTCAAGATTATAACATCTGCTGGTGAATACAGTATAGTGTATAGAATAGTATATTTTGTTTATTTACAATATATTGTATGTGGACAGTAGTGTTTACATAAATATATACAGATCTGTCTCTCTCCGACTGCAATATGACGCGGAAACATTCACCAGTACCCGGAAAGCAGGGAGATTGATGTTCTCAAGTTTTAATAGAATGTTCTTGTAGGAAATACTGTATTAGTGTGTGTAACTTACCTATGCCTGGTGTGGCTATAGCAGAGGGACAAGGCAGTTGTTCAGCATTCTAAGGCAGACTCATTTGTTGTTGTAAGAAATATAAAAAGATGTAGAACAAGGTAACATACAGCACTGTATAGTGAAGTACTATACATGTATACTGTATACTGTATTGTTATTTTCCATATAAGGATTATGGTTACTTTCTTTCCGACATTGAAGTGACCAAACAGACTAAGACTTCATTCAACCCTATATCAGCTGCATTATTACCAACCAGTTTTTACTTTGACGTCATGTATGGCCAAGTGATTTTTACTGGAAATTGAGTCCTTACTTTAAAATCTGATGTTTATAACTACTGTTATAACATGTAGAGTTATGGTTAAGTTCATCAAATCATAAATTATTATAACATCATTTGTCTTTTCACCAAGTTGTAAGATGAAAAATCACACCTCCGAAGGTGTGTGTTGTAACAACGATTCTTACATAAGTAACAATCAGAACAAGGATAGTGAAAATTTTGTGATTTTTACTAAATACTACATTCAGTCTCCAGGAATATTAGGTTGTTTAATTATTGCTTAATTTAGTAATCCTAGTGTAGCAGTGGCATATTCTTGTAGAAAGCAAAATACATTTTTAAATAGTACCCGTATCTTAATAAT